ACTTTTTGCCCATTGAAAATCTGGTATTTGTGCAATACTTCTAGCAGCACCTCGACTTATGTACTCTCAACCCCACTAAAAATTAAAGCATCATCTACAAACAACAAGTGGAAGAATTTAGGACCATTTTAGATATTCTCATCCAAGCAAAGTTTTCATTTTCCTCTTCAGCTTCAGTAATCTTGTGAAGACCTCAGACGCCAATATAAAAAAGTTAATTAAAATGGATGCTTTATCCTTCTGGTTGCTCTCACGTAGCCCTTCATTTATCCATTTAAATTAAAAGAGCAAGCTAAAGTAGAAATGTAGGCTTATACACCTATTTGACAAAAGTGAAATGGAATCCTAGTTTAAGCATGATTTTCTTAATGACTCAACCCCATCATATGCTTTCTCCATGTCTAGTTTGACAGCCATAAACCTACTTTTTTGTAACATGCGTCTCTTTCGGAAGTGAATAGCATCTTGAGCTATAATTACATTGTCTAGCAATTGTCTACCTTGGATAAAGGCTGACTGATTATGGCTAACACAAATGCTAAGGCATATTTTAAGTATGGTGGAATGGATTTTTGAAATAATCTTGTAAAAGACTCCAGAGACGTAAGGCATGTTTGGATTTAAATTTTTTTGGTTTGGTTTGGTTTGGTTAATTTTGAAAAATGTGGTATGGTTAGTACTAGTGAGTATATTAAAATATATTTAAAATAAAATAATTAAAATTGATTTAATGTAAAAGTATGAGAGATATGATTTGAAGTGGTGGTTAGTTAAAATAATGTAAGTAGATGAATTGTTAATTAAGGTTGATATGATGTGTATAAATTATTGATTGATAATATTTAATTATATTGATAGTATCGATGATAGTGAGGTTGAATTAAAGTTTAGTTAAAATGTTGAAAAAAATTTGAATTTTTTTACGTAAACATACTTTTATTGTTCTATAATTGTTAAATAATCAGGGTTGGTACACTTAGGCACTAAAGTAATGAAGGTGTGGTTCAAATGTTTTGGCATTTGACAAGACTCAACGAAATTGAAGATAGCAGCACACAAATCAATTTTGAAGTATTGAAAAAATAAGGAGGACATACCATCTTGAATGAGGAGGCCACGTGCGTTGAAAACTGACGATCTCTCTTCAAGGGTCACTCGTTCGCAGGCGAAGATGAAGAAGGTGTATGTTGCCCAATCGTCCCCACAGTCGGGGTTGAATCTAAAACTATCAAAAACTTATCGATCCGTGATTGTATGAGGACGAGGGAGAATCTCGCAGGAAGCTGCGGGGGGCTAGAAGACAAGCTGATTGACCGAGAACGAACCAACGATAATCGGGAAGGTACGGTATGAATTGGATTTTGGATATAGGGACCTCATTTGTAAATTTGACAAGTCCCATTGACTTAATTAGAAATCTCATAAATTTTATCTCTTACAATTTAGTTCATGAGTCAAATCTATAATTTATTAAAAAAATAACAATTGCACGTTAATGAAAAGTAAAATGCACATGAATGTTTATTCAATTGCCTAATAATGTGTGTGCATAAGCACAATAAAAACATCTGAACTGCAAAATGCACAATAGTATTAGACAAGATGCACATTAATGACTGTCAAACTACACAATAGAGACCAAAAACAACCAAATTAAAATTTTTGATTTGAATTTGAAACTTCAGTTCGATTATCTATTTGTACTTTTAGAATTTCGGTTATCTTCGCTAGATGATGACTTCATTTTTTAAAATAACTAAATTGACATAATTATATTACATCTTTTCAATCAAAAATAGTATAAAATATTAAATAAATTTTTATAATATAAATAATAAATTTTTTAAAATATTTAGGTTAATTCGGTTAACCGATCAAATGAATGAATAGTTCGGTTTGGTTTCAGTTTGGTTTGGCACAAACCATTAAAAATGCTTGCACTGTGAGTGCACAATAATGGTCGCTAAATTGCACATTAAGGACTATCAGACAACACAATAGCAACTGAAATATACTGAACTAAAATTTTCAGCTTGAATTTATATACTTGGTTTTATTATATGTTATTACTTTTAGAATTTCAGTTTTTTCGGTTTGATGACGGCTTTTGGTTCGATTATATTTGGATTTGGGACAAAACATCTGTCAGCTTGATTTTTTCAAAAGTTGGACTCGGTTATTTCGACCGTTCGGTTCGGTCAATGAATAATTCTAAGTGCAGTGATATTTTTGGATGAATTGTGAAATTTCAGATGTGTGGACGGACGCAATTCTGTAATTTAGCAGTATTGTGCGTCTTATGTAACACAATTGTGCATTTAACTATTGTACATCTATTGATCTTTCATTAAATTACAGAATTTCTCAATTTACTAAAGTGCAAATATATTAAAAGTTATTAAATTGCATGTAAGTTCCCTAAACATATCAATTTTTTTAAAAAAGCACCCCCAAATCCAAAAAGTATTCTCAGTAATATTTTTTGTTTAAAAAAATAAAAGTCCCCCATCAGCCACCGCCTCCATCCCGTCTGTCTTGTCACTGCTGCAGACATCCTCTCATCCCAAGCTCTATTCCTGACTCCTTATGCAACCCCAAAAAAAATATCCGATCATCCCTACCTTCCAGCTCACCGGAGTTGAGTCAGGCGGAGATGGTGGCGGGGAGGGCGTATATGGTCGCCTTGTCGTCTAAGTATCACAAGAGCTAGGTCGGCGTAGTGGTCATCGACGATGGCCATGACACAAGGGCTCAGGGAGGCAACAACGGCAAATGGCGGGGCTGTGGCGGTGGGCGGCGGTAGGCGGAGAAGGAAGTATGGTGTCCACGACTGTAATTTGAGTGTGTATGTGTGTTTGAGAGAGAGAGAGAGAGAGAGAGAGAGAGAGAGAGAGAGAGAGAGAGAGAGAGATATGGATATTAGGGTTAGTGGTTGGGTGTGGCCCACTGGGGGAGTTGTAATTGCTTACAGTGACCAAAATACCATTAATAAATGGTCAAATGTTTATATTAGACCCAGACTTGTAAACTTATTTACTATATTATCACCGCGTGTTTGATCAATATTTACTAAATTATGAATTCATCATGACCATTGATATGATGGGTTCAAGGATCCATAATTATTCTTATTTGTTTCACTATCTGTCATTCTCGTGTGATCCGATTTCTCTCTCTCTCTCTCTCTCTCTCTCTCTCTCTCTCTATATATATATATATATATATATATATATATATTGTGTCAAGTAATTAAACAAGTCAAATGGGACTTTTCGTGTTGAATATATTCAAAATAGAGATCAACATGGTTATAAACGGTTCAGTACTAGGAACAGTACTAAATAAAATCTTCGGGAACCAAAAGTTTTTGGAATGGGAATATTTGAGTCTGGTTCATACAAGTAAATTCATTTGTTTTCCCACCCTTATTTGCAATTATACTAAATCCAGTTTTTTCAGTTGATGACTTGATGACTGATTCAATTGTTGTAGTTGAATCATATGTTGTCGACAAATATAGATTGTATATGGGCAACTCTTTTGAATGCAACTTCTTTAGATGGAGATTGATTCAACTATTGTTGTAGTTAACAATTCAAATAAAATTTAAATCTTTGAATATTTGAGTTGCATATAATTGCATAAGATATCCATCTGAGGTATCTCCTATACAGTATACATTCAAATTACTTAGTGTCTTAGTGGAATCACACTCGCACGCACTAGCAAATTTCTAACGAGTAATGACATAAGAGTGAAAAAAACATCATCTCTCTACAAAAATCCTTTCTCGCGTCTTTTCCCCCAATTAGCAGAAGGCCATATTTCATGTAACCTAGCCTCTCTAGCAGCGGCCCTCGTACACCAAATTCCGGTCAGCATCTGGCCAGCCCAGGGCTTGGCGGCACGGCGCTGACGGTTGTTCTTCCTCTCCCCCCGAGTGGTCCCGAACTTCGTGCGTCTCCAAGCTGGATGAAGTGGGGCGGTCGGTGCTGGCGGCTTTGTTTGACGGACGCCACGGTTGTCCTTCCGACGGTTGGGGCTGCAGCTTAGCCTTGGTTTTCCCTTTTTCTGGCTTTCTCTGGTGCAGGGAAGGTTCGCTTCTCAGTTGGTGCTCGTGCGGTGGTGTGGCGACTCCGGAGTGTGCGTGGGAAGGCTGTGGAATGGGCCGGCCCGGGTTGCGTATGTTGTACTAGGAGAGGCTGACGAGTTTGTGGTCCGGATCTCGTTAACCCATTAGGGGAGTTTCTTGATCCGTTGCTTGGGCCGTGGATCTTGTAGTCTCTCTGAGTTGGGTGTTGACTTGAAATGTTGTGGTTATGGGATCTCCATCCGGTGGAGAGAGCTTTTTAGTATTTTCTTTGTTTTAGCTTTTGTTGTTTGGCTTTCTTTAGTTGTGTTTTTGTGTTGTTTCATTTGTGTTTTATTTTCTTCNGTTTGGTATATTCTCTTGTCCGAAACTTCTGTTTATTCTCCTTTTGTGAGTTTTTTAGTTGTGTTTCTGTAGTAAGTTGACTCTAGACTGTCGTCTGCGGTACGCGTAGTCCTCCCAACTAGAGTCAGTTGTTCAATTTATTTGGCCGTTGACTTTTTATTCGGTTGAGTAGTTATTCTCTAGTCTCGTTTGTGTTGTGAATAATAGTGCTTCCTATTGTCCCCCCCC